GTTGCATAAATCCTTCAACACAAAAGGCTTTTCTTCAACAAATCTGTTAGACGTATTCAATGTGGATTTTAATAACGTCCCCTTTGTGTATCACTAGACAACTCATTGATGAAAGTCACTCCGACACATGAGAGAATTAAAACAAGAAAACCATAAAGAAATCAAGTTTCCAGTCATGTACGTTGATTTTTCCAGTAGCACAAAGCAAAATCAACTGCCTTCGCAAGAGCTCGTGTCCTCTTCATCACTTCTTTGCACCCATTGTCAAACTGAAAAACAAGGGAACACCACATTAGCTTACACTGTTACACACAGTTAAACTCACAGTCGCAACTCTGCTGTCGAGCACAACACCGATCAAATTTCATGTTATCAGGAGTGGAAATAAACTCAGTGGTAAAACACAGAAAAGGAATTTAACAACCTTGTTGAAAAAGCTGGGTCAGAAGAAAAGTGCAACAAAGAGCAGAGACCAGATCCTTTAGCGATGAACAGCCAATAAATATTAAACATTTCACTTATTAAATTTAGTTAAACTAAATCTGTATTTACAAAAATAAAGGCACGAGTTTCAGATACGATGCAGATGTGAAGCCCATTAGCTGTTTTCTTGCTTATGTGTTGTGGACAAAATAAAGACTGAAGATAAAAAAATTTTTTAAAAAGTGTTCATACATTTTCCAGAGGAAGTAGTTTGTGTTTTTATTTGGTACTATATAAAACTAATGACCGCTGCCAGTCCTGACCTCTCGTCAAGTTGACTCGAACTGAGTTCAAGGTCATTGTGTGTTATTGCATTTACAAACTTCAGTGTGCATGCTGCCCACCTGCCTGTGTGACAACATCAGTAACATCACTGTAATCCAATTACTTATTTCAAGTAGCGAGTAGAGTAGGGGATTACTATTGCAAAAAAGTAATTAGATTACCGTTTCTTCCTCATAAGCACGCTGTGTTACTAAACCGCGATTTTGTTCGTGAGTGTCTCATGACAATGACAATGAAGATCAACGATGGATAATATAGAGTACGACCATGCACCATTTAAATTACTTTTGAAAATAAGTCATGAGTAAAGTAATAGGATTACTCTCTTGGAGAAGTAATCAGTAATAAATTACTTTTGAAAATAAGTCATGAGTAAAGTAATAGGATTACTCTCTTGGAGAAGTAATCAGTAATTAGTAACTAATTTCTATTTTCAACACTGGTGGCGACAATAGCCTTTCACAGCTGATGGGGTAAAAAGTGCCATGCTTTGGTGGAGAGGTGTGTTTGAGGGGTTTTTGTTTAGAACGGTTTGTTTTTGAAAAGTTACATAAAGACCAGAAGTTTGATCATGTAAAACCTCATCCGGCTCACAATCCCTCATCATACGTCGGTCACCGCCCGTAAAGCAACTTTGAGCACAGTTTGGGGGGAAACCATTAGGTGATCGTCACCTGCAAGTTTTGCTAAAATGTGAAAAAGACTCTACGAAGAGCAGCAGCTGAACTGTGGACAGATGGACACTGGACGCCTCAACATGGCACAAGTCCACGAGTCCTTCAGCTGGATGAGCTAAAAAGTAAAGACTGTGCTTTGTTTTATAAACTAATAAAAGTGAATTTAGTGAAGGCAATAATGTTGCGATTGAATTTATGTTGATGCCAGCAGGATATTTTACAGGAAAAGAAACAATGTTTATACTTTCTGTTAAAGTGATGTAGATTAAGACGGAGGTTCACAGGGATCTGGCTGCTTTACTCACTGAAATGTAAAGTGTTGTTTCGCTTTGTAACTACTGAGCCATGTGCAGATACCAACAAAACTGAACGTGGGAGTTGAGCTTCAGCCTCCGATCGTTCAGAGTCAAGACAAGTGGA